GGCTCTGACTCCTCTCCGTAAGACTTCAGAATTCTACCCGAGTCTTTCCGACATTATCAAAGAGCATTCTGAATTTCTAGGGACTACTTACTACAGCATCTACCCAGCCTTTCTACAGCACTTCCATTTGAAGCTGCATCCTTTCTCCACTGAAAATGAACTATTAGTAATCCTTTCAAACAATCCATGAATGGTAAAAATATTTTGCTGAGAAAAAGAGCCACTGAATTACTCTTTATGCCTTTCATACATGGTATATAAATGTCACAGTTTAATTTGGAGAAAATAATTGTCAACATGCAATAATTATATATAATTTCATATGATCTGATATGTGCAATTCAGTGTTTTATTAAATAAACACAGTAGCTAACCAAAATCTGATTGCTGATAATGGGAAATCACATTAAAGCCTATGTTCCTAGGGTAATTATTGGTCATCTGAAATGATATATTCCCTAAAAAATAAAGCAGAAAATTATCTTCCTGTGAAATAAGAAATACAATAGAAATAAAGTTAAGGGACATGTTTATTTCGGAGCTTTCTGCAAGCAAAATTGCTTTGATACAAAATGAGTTCAATGATACAGTGCTACCATCCACTCAAGCAAAAGAAAACCTCACATTTACATGAATGCACTTTGTATTAGTATTCTTACAGAATAATAGTTCAGATATCCAGAATGTGTCTGGCCTCATTGAAAGCAATGGCACAGAAATGCTGCAAGGTATTGGAGTATCATATTACTGGCAAGTGCTTAATTAACTCTGTGAGTTCTCTGAGAGATGCGGTATAAATAAGGGTACTGTGAATGTGGGTTTGTATTCCTTAGCAGTTTTGACGTACATCCTTCTAGTGTTTGTTTAGTTGGCTCAAAATGTGTATTTGTGTCTTTTGGCTTTTTAGTATTCTCTTTTTCTTTTTTTAAAGAAAAATCATGAGGTATCCTTTACTGTTAACTAATGACATAGTGATAGGCCTATTTTATTCAGGTTGCAAAGACTTACTGTACATTCAGTACACTGTACATTCAGCTATTATTTTTAGCGTACTTTCTACACATTACTGTGTACAACTGTTAGTTTACATTAAAACTCTTCCCCCTTCTCACAGGATATGGCATAAACAAAACCAAATCTGACAAAAATTATACACATAAGGTAAGACGACAAATACACAAATAAGGCCATCTGCAGAATTAAAAATCCACCTCTTGTGATATTTCACAATAATTTCTACATAATATTTTACATCTTGCAAACTTAAATACTTAATGCAAAAAGGAAAAGACCTTTACGGAGCCAATCATATTATCTCTTCAAAGACTTGTCCAATTTGCTAGCTAGTGGCCTTCTCTGGGGAGTTGGAATTTTGGAAGGTTTGGTTGATCCTGGCCGAGAACCTGCTCGGGGTGTCGGTCTGCTTATAGCAGGAACAGTCTCTGACATATCTGAGCATACAGACTGGATTTCTGAAATGTCAAAGTCAGATGCGTCACTGCCTCGGCGGCTGCTTGACCTACTGCCAGCCTTGCTTCCTGCTCGGCTTCCAGGTCTGCTTGGAGTTCTTCTGGTTTCTAGAAAGAGAAAAGATATCCATCAGCATTAGAGGTAAGGATGGAAAAGGTATGCAGGTCCTTCCTAGGTCTTTGGCAACCCCAAAAACTCCTCATTGCACAAACTAAACTTTAGACCTCTGCCAGCCAAGCTAGACGATGCCACATCTCCCACTAAAGAGAAGGAAATGTGAGATCAAATGCCAAGACATAGTTAACTCATCACCAGCACATCTCATTAAAAATGTATTATCCTGGCAACTTTTCTTGACTTAGTAGACATGCATTGTATATTCACCCAACAGCCAGAGCCCTTCCTTCCCCTGCCATTTTCTCAGCTATGAATTCTAAGAATCCAGTATCTGGCCTCTTAATGAATTCAGGATTTCTCAATATAGGTACTTTGGAGATGCAGATGAATATCCCAGTTTTTAAATGTGTACCCTTCTGTTTTTTTTAAAATTCAAAACCACACAGTTGAAAGCTGTGAGTAAACAAGGACAGAGTACACATTCTCCTAAACAAAGGGCTGAGTAAATGAGCTCTCAGCAAGCCTGCTAAAGTGAAAGCCTACCTAGACAATGTGCCACGAAGAAAAAAGCCACAACAAAGAATCTTAAACAGAAAACCATTAATGTGGTTTTTCATAATTTTCCAATTACTTATTGAATATTTTTGATCTTGACAAATCTGGTTCCCTGTATGTCTGAAGAACACCAAGTTGAAACTGAAATCTTAGGAGGCTCATTTTTCAAATAATTTCTAACTTAAAAGACATGTACTCTTTGAACAGGACATTCCAGTACTGCTCAGTATGCTCTGCAGAGGTTATGTGAGGGAAAGCCAGTAAAGCTATCTTCTGTTCTAATCATCTACCCCTCACCCCTATACAGGGCTGCTCTGAGGATCCTGGAAGAGTGCAGCTTCATGCTTTCTATTTTCATATACTGTTTTAAAAATCTCTATGGGATACTTCATTAATAAGGTCACCTACAGCTGCCCCCTGCAGGTTTTCTTTCAAAAGAAATGGACAAGTCACTATCAAGGGACCCCTTTGCTCCACCACGGTTGAGCATAACTTGAATACTGTGAAGAACTGAACCCTTTCTTTCTAAGTCAAGGCTTCTTCCCTAGTTCCTTAGCCAGACACATCGGTGATACCGTTGTTAAGAAGACCGCAGTCATGAATTTGCACATCCAGAGCTGAACGTACCTGCTGTGCCAACCATGTGAACAGAGAACCATTATCCTGATTACGTGCACCCTTGGCAACACTAATGTGGAGACAGTAGGAGACTCACTCTTGCCTGTTCTTCTGACATCTCCCTTGCACCCTAATGTGACCCTAAGTATTCAGGTGGAAAACAAAGCAAGCGGTAGATCAAGATCTAAAGAGACTCACCTGCAAACTGAGCTCTAACTCTGGTAGCTGCTGTCGACAGGATGCTGCTGTCTTCTCCAGAGTGGAAACCCTTCCCTGATAGATATCCTGGCAGTCTGAGTTTACTTCCTTGAATTGGTGTTCCCTATGCAAAACAACAAACAAACAAAAATAACTCAAAACCAGGTATGGGTTTTTTCAATTATCGCTATGGAAGATAAGGTCTAGTATTAGGTAGTACATGGCTTAGAATATGATCATCATAACAACATTCACTGTGAATCTGAAATACTGGTTTGAGTCACTATGCACATTTTTCATAACGTAAAGTTTTGAACATTCCTTTAGCAGTTAGCATTTGAAGTAGTCCAAATGTAAAACAACAACAACAAAAAAATCACTTTAACAGTCTGCTTGACATTAACATTTTAGCATTCTTTGTGTGTATTTCAGTGCATATAAAGAAAGAAAAATGCTACCTTCTTATAATTAGTCATGCACGTAAGATTAGCTGATAGTACATGACTTCGCGACAAGTAGTTGAGGTTTTTTGTCTGCATAACTTGACTTTCCACCATTTTGACTGTGGTTATAGGTGGTGAATACATTTGTTTCAATTTTATAAATATTTTGACAGCAAAACAGAACTACCAAATTTCAAAACCTTTTGCTAGAAAAAAAAAGACATAGGACTAATTTTAAAAGTTCTTATTGTCAATATATTGTCTGAAATGTCTCTACTCCACAGTCTTACACTCACTTCTTTCTCATTTATGAATTAAAAGCCGCCTTGACTTACAATCTGGCCCAAATGGGAAGACTTCTTTCAAAGCCACAAGAATCAAATCCTCAAATCTCAAAATGCATGTAGCATACCAGATAGGAGGTGCATGCAAACAAGTGGAACACTACAGTATTAATATTCATTTAATCAACACAAAAATACTAAGTAAATATCCAAAAAGAAGAGCAAACACTGTAGTGATGGATGCGGCATGTTGAGTGGACCGGATCCCAGGATCCTGTGTTCTGTGCCTTTGACCCCCGGACAATGGTGGGGTAGAACACCAAGACTGAGGCGTGTGTGGGGAGCTGCCTAGAGCTAAGCACCGAGTGGAGGTCTAGCAGGAGCCTGCCTGGCAGCTGCCGGCTTGGACCACTTCTGGCACATCTGAACAAAAGAGCATTGAGATGCTACAGAGTAGACAATCTGCTGGCTCTGACAGGGATGGTCACAAGGTTGAACTCTCTTTACAGCCAAGTACAAGTGCTTAACATCCAGCCAGCCACACCTTGGAAATCTCTGCTCTACAGAGACTGCTTAGGAGGATAAGGAGAAAGGGAATGCTCTCCATTACCTCCGCTGAAGCTGCTGCACTTTGCGCAAGGCATCGGGATAGAATCACTAGTGCAAGAAGAAGAAGAGAGTGAGCTTGTTCTTCAGTTTTTCCCTAAACCCAAATGCAGTCTACATATAAAATAAATAACCACTCTCTTGGGCAGAAAATGCTGCAGAATGCCTCAGAAATTCACTGCAACCTACCCATTCCATTTACAATCTTAAACCATGGTGGTTTACATAAAAGAAACTCACTGAAACTACTGGCAGTTGTAAGAGCAGGTGAGAAATACAGTGCCCCCATTCGAAATCAATGCCAACTGCCTTCACCTCATTGTAATTCAGTGAAAACAACACCACCTTTCTGTGTCTATAAACCCTCCAAAGTACCATCAATTAATCTTACAATTCAGTTACAGCTAAGAGATGAAAGAAAATACAGGAATATAGTAGAAACTGACGACTGGCTCAACTTTGTGCTAATGTTAATCATTCTATGCAACAGCCCTGTGTGCTTGAAGTGCTGTATACATACAGACACCTGCAGCGTTCACAAGTAATGCACCCACTCGCACAGGGAGTGAAAATTTCGTTATGTACCTTTGAGCAAAGCCACACCAAGGTCATGTAAACTTAGCACCCAAAGGTGTCACATGAATAGCAATAGGCATCAACGTGCGGATTTGTGAAAAGCAGATACAAAAAGAGGTGATGGTAGCACAAGCTTCCCCTCACCCAGGGCAAGAGTAACTCCTACAAGTGACAAGTCAGTTTGCAGTCTGATCCAGCTGCAATCTTTTCACTGACTGTAATGACATTAAAGGAGACACTTTGGCTTCAAGTCCATTCAAATTTTGGTCATACAGCTTAATTGCTGGCACAATCCTAATTGCTACTAGCAATTTCTATGTAAGTCATGGGCTGGAAATAAGAGCAAAGCTCATTTCCTGTTAAGTCATCAAATAGTTATCTTCTTAGAGCAACGATTGGTCACTACGCCCCTAAACAAAACTTTCAGTTGTTGGAAAGCCTTTTGTGCTATCTTCTTCACAGTGATTGGGTTTTTCTTGATTTAGTGGTTTTGCACTGGAGATCATGATTTATTAATCTCATTCATGCAGTTCATGAATACTACAGTACTTTCTGAACTAAAAGTAAACAACTTTAGGAAAGAAACCTGCAAAGTATATGAACTGCTTTATTTTTTTAAAAAAATTAATTATTTTTCCACATTAGCTCAACCAGTTCATTGCATACTGTTATGATTTATTAACCGCTTGCACTTTAAACATAAATTCATTGAGGCAGAGTTTTCCTAAAAGTCAAAAACTGTAATAAACAGAACATCAAAAAAAAAGACTTGCGGGGAAAAAAAAAAAAAGGAAAGAAATAATTTGACAAAGGTCTAAAATAAAGGCAATGCATTAATATGCAAAGGATGTTGCAGCTCTGAAGCATTGAAAATCTAGTGGCTGTTAGTGAAGTGACAGTTTTAGCGAAGGAAGGTCAATAGACTAGAATCTCTGTCCTTACTGTACCTCTGCAGACGACCCTTGATAGTCTGAAGATTCTGGTGGCTTAGGAGTTGACGTTTTGCTGTTTGTCAACCATGGTTTACCATAGTTGCGTGTTAAATGATGGGGTGTCTGTATGAAACAACGGTAAATCAAAATATGAAGGACAGTAGATGGAAAACAATGTCATGGAGAAGGATACCCCAGCTTTCACAGGGAGATAAAATCTCATAGTAGAAATAAAAATTAAGCAGAAAGAGTTGATGACAAATGTTCTGAAACAAAGAGATGGCAGAGCTTATTTTTTAACAAAATGGAGAGGTTCATTGCTCTTTCAGAGGAACTCCCAAATTGCCAGTTAGCTCATGTGGCTTAAATGTAAAGAATTCTTCTATCCCCATGTTGCAAACAAACGCTAGAGGAAATACACTGAAAAGACTTCTCAGATCTTCCCCAGACTATGAAATAAAATTGAGATACTTCTTCCCTATCAGCTAGGGAAAGCACCAGTATTGTTGGAGCAAGGGAGGGAGGGAAAAAAAAAAAATAAATCTATACCCCATTTGTTAACCCGTGCAGTTTTGTACATTTCTCCTTACCTTTGGTGTACTTGTAGCAACTCCTTGTGGGGCAGCTGCCTGGCCAGCTTGACTTGACAGAGAAGTAGATCTGTTGGGAGAAGCACCCCTTGAAGAGGGTCGTGATCTACGGCCCCTCGGTCGGAAAGCTGCCATGCTCTGACTGGCACCATCTGCCAAAATGAACTTTTCACGCAGCTCCACATTTGTCCTCCCTTTAGCTGCAGTAAAGAAAGGTGTTCCTTTAGTCAGATATGAAAATTGTCAGAAGGTTGTTCATTGTCATTTTTGCCATGCCAACTCCAACACATTTTAACAATAAATAAAATGCATTACTGTGTAATGCATTTATTTTGGACACAGAAGAGTTATGTGCAGAACTTGCTTATTCTAATACTTTATG